ATTGAAGGAAATTAAAACCCAAATTAAGATTTTATTTGAGATAATTTTCTTATTATTTTCTATAGCTACTGTAGAGAAAACAAAAATTTAAAGTTATTTTAGAAAGTAATTTTCTAGTACAATTTTTTTTTTTGAAATAGTAGCCAAAGAGAATGTCTGATTGCAGTTTGAAAACAAAGTAGAAAGAAAGTTATCCTAAATGAAGTCTAAATAAGGGTGGAGAAAATAACATCACTATTATGATTGCAGGAAATAACTTTCCATCATAATTTTTTTGAAAAATAATGAGAAAGTAATTAGAAAATAAAAGTCAAAAGTAATTACTGTTGCTGTCAAAAAAGCAAAGCAGTCAAAAAATTATCCTAAACTGACCATAAGTCTCAAATGGCTTGATTTTTTTTTTTTTACCTTTGTGCCTATTAAGACAAATTCATACACACATTACATACACAAGCTTTGAATCCAAAATCTCTTAGTTAATAGTCAAAACTCTCAACCAACAGATTAAGAAGCAGCACGTAAATGACCTGAATTATATATGCCAGGCCATTTGATCATGGGGAAATATAGAAGCAAAGGAAATTCTTAGTGGAAATGTGAAATTTTGTCTACGTGATCCACGTTTTTGTTTTTGTTTTTGTTTTTTGTTTTTTTGGAAAAATTATTCAATAGTTTTACGAAACGTTGGTGATTGCGAACGGTGGGGCACTCGTTTTTGCAAGCATTCCCAAAAGGACTCTCACTTGCCATGCACGTTGATGCACATGTGTGACATGTGGAAATTAAAAAAAAATAAAGAAAAATTTTCAAAATAGTTTTGGCTTCATCCATAGGTGAATGATCAAGTATCTAAAGATGGCATAATTAGGAATAAATTATTATTGAGTTGATTAGAATCTCTCATTGTTGTATAAAAAATATGATGATTATTGTATGGAGGGTGAACCCAATTAAATTATAATTTTAATGGCATGTTATTTTTTTTCTCTCCAAATGGAATAAATATAGATAAAGATTATTATAAGATGGTGCCTCAGCTTCATTTTGTATTAATGTTTGTAGCTAGTCTAAAAAATACTAATCCTACAGCCGAAAGAATTGAACGCTCGAGGTCGAATTCCTGATGAGCTACATGAAAGTTCGTTAGGAATGTTAAGCCCTATAGAACTGGCCCGAGGCTAACCAAGAGGGGAGGGGGGGGTGTGAATTGGTATTTTAAAAATTTCTTTAAAACCAAAAGAACGATTATCACAAACCAAATCACCACAAAAACAAGCGCAGAAGGAAATAAATGTGGAAAGCAGTAAAAACAAGAACACAAGGGTTTATAGTGGTTCGGTCAACTCGACCTACGTCCACTCCCCGGAGGCGCCCTCCGAGTATTGCATTACAATCGTGACTCTCCTTTAGCCCCCACAGCTAGCGGAGAAGCCCTCACAAAAACACCTCCTTTTTGCCACACCCGGCAAGGCAGAGAACCCAACTCCTTTTGCTTCCTCCTGAAGAAGGCAGAGAACCACGATCACTTGCTAAAACTTACCTCTCCCAACCATTCCAAGGACAAGAGACTCTAGAGAAGAAGAAGTGGAACAATGCTTGGAGCAACCCTTGTGAATTCCCTCACAAGCTCCCCCTCACAAGATCCTCT